TCGACAGGTTATCAGATTGTTTTCACTTTCCTTTATTTAACCTATATATAGTTTCTTTATATTTAGGTTGAATTATCTTTTTGTATTCAAAAACTTGATGTAGAATCAATGAAATCCTAGTTTTCTCATTTTTCTTTATTTCTTTGGATTGTTTAACATATTTTAGCATTCTAACAACCTCGTGGAGGGCTCCTTGGATTCTATACGAAGACAATCCAAACCTTTGATCTGATCAAATACACAGTGATGAAGCCTGTCAAATAATGGACATCATTGGTAAATTTCTCGAGTATTACGACATTCCATATTTATTGAACATTTATCTCGAATTCAAGATCCTTCCAATGTTAAGCAAGCAAATATGGAAAAGAAATTCGAAATCTTAACTGTTAAAGGGGTAGATAAAGAGCTTCATCTTGAATTCTTTGGGAAAGAGCCAATGGTAGACAGTACTTTCACTTTTAAATTGAAGGCTGCAAGCAGTGAAAACGTTATAAGCTGACTAGTTATGCTTCTCTCAAGACTGTACATTTAACATCCAATAACTCATTTATCGGAGAATTTGATAGCCTTTTTTTTGTTTTCGAACTGTGAATTCCTCGAATTCTTAAAACTCAAGAAATGCTATAGCCTTTGATATTTGAATAATGTTATCTAGTATCAGTGGTGTTAGAGCATCAATTTAGGTGTAAGTATGTGATAGATCATGATAAATTAATTATAAATTCTTGTATTTAATTGAACATATATGAAGCCTAGTCGAGGTTACACTTGATATGGCAGATGGATTAGGCCAAAATGGGTTTGACTGCGGCGAACTTTTATAGTCGACCTCTTTGATCTATGAATCTATGATTTAGAATGAGTATGTTAATTTCAATTCAAGCATAAATTTGCTTCACATTCTTTATTCTGGGAAATATTTATCATCGTATGGAAAAAAAGACAATCAACTTTCATTTAGGACTGTGTTTAACCAAACCACACGGAGATGGTTCATTTAATCAGTCAATTTTAAATTACAATTTCCTTTATTTTATTTTAATATGCCACAAATAGTAAAGATTCTCTAAGAAAAAAATACTCAAATTAGAACCCAAGAATATAATCAAATCCATTCGAAATATTTCATTCTAAATTCCCACTATACTCAATCCATTCGAAGTCAAACCATTTAAAAAAAAAAAAACCCCAAATTAGAATCTCCAGATTTTTTTTATAAAATTCCACAACATTAAGCCTTCTTTGATTTCACTAAAAAGATTAATTAAAATTCAATTCAAAGTCAACATTTAATTTTAACCACACGTTCCATCATTTTTTAAAATCAAAATCTAATAAAAATATGATATTTATCTAAACCAAACATATGTCATGTTTGTCCACGTTATTTTTTTTATTCTCATTCTTCTACTCATTTTCAACCACATATTCTTCAATAAAATAATATTTTCCATCACATCAATAACTTTTCCTTCTTTTTCAACCACATATTTTTCATCACATCAACAGTAAAAATGT